TGATTTATCTTTGAAAACGTTCCATGTGCATTTGAAAAGAATGTGTATTTAGCTTCTTTGGGATGAAGGGCTCTGTATATATCAGTTAAGTCCATTTCATCTAGGGCATTGTTCAATGCCATAATATCTTTGTTGATATTATGTTTGGAAGATCTGTCCATTTTTGACAGTGGGGTGTTAAAATCCCCTACTGTAATTGTGTTGCTGTCAATATCTTTTCTTGAAGTCCTCTAAGATTTTCTTTATGTATTTGGGTGCTCCTACATTGGGTGCATATATATTTACAATGTTTACGTCTTCTTGGTGGATTCTTCTCTTGAGTATTATGAAGTGACCTTCTGGGTTTCTCTTTACGGCTCTTTTTTTGAAGTCTATTTTGTCTGATATGAGTATTGCTACCCTGGCCTTTTTTTCCTGTTTGCTTGGAAAATTTGCTTCCAGTCCTTTACTTTCAATCTGTGTAGGTCTTTTGTCCTGAGGTGGGTCTCTTGCAGGCAGCATATGTGTGGGTCATGCTTTCTTATCCATTCAGTTATTCTATGTCTTTTGGTTATACCATTTAATCCATTTACATTTAAGGTTATTATTGATAGGTACTTAGTCACTGTCATTTTCGTACCAGTGTTCCTCTCTCTCTCTTTTCCTTCCTTTCCTTAAAGCAGTCCCTTTAGCATGTCTTGCAAAGCTGATTTGGTGGAGGTGTATTCTTTTAGACCTCTTTTGTCCGGAAAGGTCCTTATTTGGCCTTCTATCTTGATTGAGAGCCTTGGTGGATAAAGTAGCCTTGGTTGCAGGCTTCTGGTTCTCATTACTTAGAATATTTTTTGCTGTTCTCTTCTAGCTTGGAGCGTTTCCATTGAGAAGTCAGCTGATAACCTTATCGGGGTTCCTTTGTATGTTATTTTCCTTTTTCCCTTGCTGCCTTTAAGATTCTCTCTTTGTCTTGGAATTTTGCCATTTTAATTATTATGTGTCTTGAAGTGGGCCTCTTAGGGTTCAATCTTGATTGGGACTCTCTGTGTTTCCTGGATTTGTGTGACTTTTTCTCTCATCAAATTAGGGAAGTTTTCCATCATTACTTTTTCAAATACGTTTTGTATGCCTTTGTCGTCGTCTTCTCCTTTTGGTATCCCTATTATTCGAATATTATTATGTTTCATATTGTCTTGTATTTTTCTTAATCCCTCCTCATTCTTTCTTAGCCTCTTTCCCTTTTCTTGTTCTTTTTGAGTGTTTTTTTCTACTTTGTCCTCCAGCTTGCTGTTCTGATCTGCTTTATCTATCCTGCTTTTGATTTCTCCTACTGTGTTCAGATATTGTATTCTTCATTTCCTCCTGGCCCTTGTTGATAGTTTCTATTTCCTTTTTCATGTTGATATAGTTTGCAGTGAGTTCATTGTAGTTTCCCTGTAGTTTCTGGTAATGCACTGTGAGCTCATGGAGCGTCCTGATAACCATTGCTTTGAACTCAGTATCTGATAGTTGACTTGCTTCTATTTCATTTTGCATTCTTTCTGAGGCTTCCTCTTTTCCTTTCATTTGGGGATTCTTTGTCTTCCAAATGAAAATTGTTTGCGAGACTCTTCTTGTTAGCCTCGGCTTCTTAAATTGATCTGTTCTGGCTCCCTGAGTTTATGGCATGAACTTCTGTGGTAGAATATCTGTGAGATTCAGTGGTGCAGTCTCCTTTGGGTATCCTGGTATTCACCTCTTCCACCTACTCTTTTTTATGATCATTTGGAGGGGTAAGAAAAAATGGTTTAAGACAGCAAGAGAGTATTCTATGCTATTTACAGTAGCAGCAGGCAGAGAAGAGATAGGAGATCCTTTGGCTATGTATAGTGTTAACCATGATCTTCGGCCCAACTAGCCATCTTTTAGAAAGGATAGTAGACTCTTGTTGGGGAGGGAAGGATTGTGAGTTGGATCTAGAAAGCAATGAGGTTGTGGGGGGTCAGATTCTGAGGTAAGGTGAGAGTAAAGGATAGTAAATAGGTGTACTGTGTTAGAGAATAGAGTTAACCACTACAGTAATAGAGTTCAGGAAACTGTGAAGTGGGCTAAGATCTGGGAGGGGTGTTGTGTAGTATTTACAGCAGTATGGAACAGCTATTATTTGTAATAACATTAGAGCAACAGTCATATGACAGAACCTATGAGATCTAGATAACAAGAATAGGGAGCATAGGACCGTCAACAGTGAAGTGAAGGACAGTAAATTAGCAATAAACTATGAATGAGAGAACAGGGGAAATCTGTCAAATGATACAATATAACAAGCCAAGAAAAGAAGACTAACCAGAAAGAAGAGGAATACAAAATTATTATTCAAATAAAAGATGTAAGAATAATGAAAAATAATAATACAAATATGCAATAACTTGCAGGTTCTGTGTAATAGCAAAGTGAAATTTGTGTCTCTGTCTCAGCTGTTGGGATTCCCCCTCTTTGGGTCCAACTCTGGTTTTTTCACAGTTCCGGGTTTTTGGGTCTCACTTGTGGGTATTTAAAAAAAAATGCAGACTAAGGAAGGAAGAGATAAAATTGGAAAGAAAGGAAGAAGGAATAAAACAAGAAAGAAGGAAAGCAAAAGGAATTGAGAGACAAAAATTTAAAAATATAAAATTACTTAAAAAAATCAAACAAAGAAAAAACAAACAAAAAAACCCCTCTTGCTGGTTTCAAACTGGCCGAACCAGTTTTTCTGTTCTTGCTGGCTGCAGCAGGCTGAGGGGCAACTGATATGCTTTTCTCCCTTCCTGTTTAGCATTCAGTCAGCCTCAGGCACACATTCCCCAGGGCTGGTCAGGCACTCTCCCCAGAGCTAGCCCGGGGCTCCTCTGCAGGGCCCTGGGTGTGGGCTCCAAGTCTCCTGAGGTGCTCTCTCTCTGGGTTCATGGGTGTGAGCTCCAGGCCTTTCGTGAAGGTGTGCTCTCTCTCTGGGTCCACAGGTGTGGGTCCCAGGCATTCCACAAAGCCCTCTCTCTCTCAGGGTTGTAGGTGGGCACGAGACCATCAGGGCACTCAGGTGCACACTCTTCCCAGGGCTATGCGTGGGTGCTCGAAGCCCCCGTGTGTTTGCCACTTAGTCCTTACTCCCCTCTCTGCGACTTCAAGCAACCAGGTCTCTCCTGGTGCTGACAGAACCCTGTTTGGCTAGGAAGGGAGAGCCAACCCAGCTCTCCCAAGAACCCTGTGGCCAGCCCAGCAGGCACCGGGCCTAGGGCTGCAGCCTCCATGCTTAATTACAATGGTATAAAAAAGCAATTTCAATTTAGCTCACTATAAAGCCAGATATATATATGTTCATTTATACATTTCCCCCATTTTGTCAACCAGAGGGGTCAAGATTATTAAAAACATAACAGGATCTAGATAAATTACATACAATTAGGGATAGGATATTTGTTGTTTTTGTTTTGCTTTCCCCAGCAGAAGTTATTTAACTGATGCCTAACATGCATTAATAAATGATTCATATGATAAGACAGATCCTGAAAACAGTGGTGGCTTCAGCAAATCAGGCTATTTTCAAATACATACTATGAAAATGATTGTATCAGGAAATCTTTATGTGTGTGTGTGTGTGTGTGTGTGTGTGTATACACACACATACATACACATACACACAGGTTCTGGCACAAATAATGTCTGCTCAAGTGTGGATTATAGGGTAATAATATGCATATAATAATTCAGTTTTAATTTGAACATTTCACCCAAAATGTCATATGGTGTGCTTGCTGTTATGTTACAGAATTACATGCCTATGATTTTTGTAACAAAAGATTTTGTAATTTTAAAAAGGGGGCATTATTGTGCCAGACCCTATGTGTGTGTTGTGTGCATATGTGTGTGTGTGTGTATGTATATACAGCCCCTATGTTGTATGAGGGAAATAGGCACGGCCTACTAGCACAAGCTAGTAGGTGCCTACTGCATGGTCACCACCTAGATCAGCTACAGTCACTGAACTCCAAAATGTTACTGCTACCTTTCATGGAGTATTTTCATTTAAATTACAAGGTCACAAAAAAAGTGAAATGAAGGTAAAGAAACTGCTGACTTTGGCAATGACCTGGCATGTATTATGTGAATTCTCCTCATCCTTCTTCTAAGACGATGCCTGACACATAATAGTTGTTCTATAAATATTTGTTGACTAATTTCAGAACAATATGGGGATAATATTGGTGCTTTAAGATAAATGCTATTTTGGCAATATGTGTGAAATCAGCATATATAACGGAGTTAATAACTCCTTGAAGCAAAGAAAAATTCCTTGATTAGTGGTTCTCAAACTTTTCTTAGCCCAGGTATACCTGGAGAGGCATCTAGGAATCTAGAAGGTACTGCACTTTGCTGTGACCCTCATAGAGATGTACACCCACATGACAGGCACAAATCTTTTACTGATTTTAATTTCCTTTGAATCATTTTACAACCTTTCTTGCATTCACCACCTAGACTCCCCACCCTCAACAAAGGTACAAACTGTAACAGAGACTCTAACATTCTGTGCAATCAAGGCTTAAGGCCAAATGAAAAGAATAACCACTAGTGACATAATACCATGTTCTGTTCAATAACAGGTTTAATAAGGCAACTTAACAAACAGGTTTAGTTGGGAAACTCATTTCAAAATATCTTTTCCTAACATTTAATAATCTATAATCACCATGAAACAGTGGTTATTTTAAAACCTAAAACCTTCAGATTACTATTAAATTTTATTACTGCTTGGAGCTTTGCTCAGAAAAGTTATATTTGAAATCAAATATGCTAAAATTGATGTTTCTTATCTTGCAGTACAATTATATTAGGCAGATTATTACATACACAGTCTTTTTAGTGAAGTTGAAAAGAAAATATCTCTGTGGTTTTCTGATGTGTAAATAATAAATAAAAGCAAAACACATGTTTATTTCCACAGTAAAAATAAAGATATTCTTTTATATAATTATTTATCACTCTATGTATTGTAAGACAGATAAACTTACTTCCTTCTCTGGAATAAAGGCACTTGGTCCTCTTGTCAAAGGTTGAGACACTCTGATTTTTTTATCCTGTTTTTAAAAGAAAAGTTTTATACATTAATGATGACTTTCTAAGAAAATGTTAACTTGGTGCAAATTGATTGCTAAGGTACTAAAATAAACAGAATTATGTAAAAGCGGAGTAAGTGTTAGGCCTCAGATAGATGATAACCCACAGAACCACTGTACGAATAAGATAATGGGGCAAACTCCCACCACAGTGCTGAGAGCACAGTAGGCTCCTAAAATGTCATTCCTCAGTCATACTCTACAGCACCATGGATTTTTAGTCTACAGTTGACATGACTGAAAACTATGAACCTCCACAGTAAAATCCTACATAATAGTATACTAATAGTATATCTCAAATTGAAAGCTAAAGGTTAAATTCAAAGAATCAAATTACAGACAACTTCCCAAAGCAATAACCTGACCTTTATAAAAAATGAAATAAAATAGGAATAATTATATTTAACTTTTAAAGCTTAAAGAAAAATGTAAAACTTGGAGAAGTAAAGGTTAATTTTACCTAAGAAATGGGAGAATACAATAATGCTTATTGTTACACTTGCTACTCTATTTAGTATTAACTGTATCTAATTTAGTATTAGACTGACAATAGTATGTCAATCTGTTATTTTTTATGTTATAAATTTTAAAAAATATTTTATTTATTTTTAGAGAGAGGGAATTGGAAGGAGAAAGAGAAGTAGAGAAACATCAATGTGCGGTTGCCTCTTGAATGTCCCTGCTGGGGTCCCCACAACCCAGGCATGTGCCGACAGGGAACTGAACCAGCAACCCTTTGGTTTGCAGGCCCATGCTCAATCCACTGAACCACACCAGCCAGGGCTGTTATAAATTTTTTTTGATAATTGTTTTAATTAAAAAATATTTTGAGCCCTGTCCTGGCAGCTAAGTTGGTTAGATGGTTGTCCCAATACGCTAAGGTTGAAGGTCTGATCCCCGGTCAGGGCACATACAAGAATCAACCAATAAATGCATTAATAAGTGGGACAACAAATCAATATTTCTCTCTCCCTTCCTCTCTCTAAAATTAATAAATTAAAAAAATATTTTGGTGTCCTCATTTAAGTGTGATTATCTATAAGCCTCAAAATCCCAATCAGGGAGTCATTCCCTTCTCCGTAGGCATGTTGAGGAGCAGGAATAGTCAAAACGAGGCTCTCAGGCTTTGAAGTCCTTCTTAGCATGAAGAAGAGATAGGACAAATAGTCACTTAATTTTCTGTAATAGAAGTAATATTTTAAAGTTGTGAAAAAGCCCTCCAAAACTATAACATAAAGACAGGGACTATGCCATGGTTTATAAAGACCCTAAACACTGAGAGGGAAATTAAAGAGCACAGGAACAGATGTCTACTGGAAGGGGGTAGATTAAGCTTTAGGTGCCACCAAGCCCACCTCAGGAAGCATCTAAACTGAGAACGTTGCTCCAGGTGGTTCCTCATCTGAGGTGGCGATATGGCTTTTACATGACTTTGTCTCCTGGCCATAGCCAACTAGGCCAGTGATTTTCAACCCTTTTCATCTCATGGTACACATAAATGAATTACTAAAATTCTGTGGCACACCAAAAAAAATTGTGTTTTTGCTGACTGGACCTCCAAAAAAAGTATAATTTTGGTTCATTCACACTGATGACTAGTGTTGTTGGCTGATCTCATTTTGTTTGACAATTTAAAAGAAAAGAGGTCCATGTCCCTGACTAAATAGTCAGGTATTTCAAGTTTTAAAAAACTCTTGTGGCACACTGGTTGAAAACTGCTGATCTAGACCAACAGATACAGAAGTTGATCTGCAGCCCACGAATTCCCTGATAAAGTTCTGCCTAAGTAGAGTTGGGGGTAATTAGCTGAACCAGTAAAATTCTAGAATACTAGAAGTAACACGGGAGTACTCGAGTTCTATGAAAGTAATGTAACCCAATGGAGAGAAGAGAAAACAGCGCTCAGAAGGAGAAGCGAAGAGAAAATAATGAAGCACCGGAGTAAGAATCAACAGGAGCCTACTTCTCAGGGAAAACCACTAGAGTTTCTATGGATTCACCAAAGGGAAGCCGAATCATGATTCTCTTCTCTCTCCCTTCCTCCCTCCTTTCTTCATTCTTCTTTTTCTCTGCACAAAGTAAATGAGTCTTTTTGTTCCTTACAAACAGCCTACCAAACACAAAATAGTTGCTTAAGTTCCTTACCTTATTAGGAAGCAGTCACAAACAAATTGGTAAAAGTAGGCAGGTAGGCATTCAATGATTTTTTGAGAGCCTAATCAGATCGCTGATAGACACTGTGCATACACCATAACAAAACAGGGACTGTCCCTTTGAGCTTGGCACAAAATTACCATTTATTTTCAGGGTTCTATGGAAATAAATATATTAAGTAATGATCATCTTAAACTGGTAAGTTTTCAGAAAGAACTAGACATCTGGGTTATATTTATAAAGTGATGAGAAATATGTCTCAATTTAGTGGTAAAGCCCACTAGAGGACTCCATGTAAAAAAACAGAAATTTCAAATTTCTAAGATTGGTTATTTCTTGCCTACATCAACTATGAATCCCCATTTACCAAGAAAAATAATTTATGAGAAAATAAAAGATTTCTTCCCCTTTCCTGTTCTCTGTAAGTTATAGAAAATAAAATTTCAAATACTGTATTTAATACGGCCTAATGCACTATTGTCTGAAAAGCAACCCCTTTATAACTGATCATTACAAATGAACAAAGCAGAGAAAATTACTTTGAGGACAAATCATAGGTTTGAAGAAAAAAATGCCAATATGGGGATAAATGGGATCTTTTCATTGTATTTATAAAATACATAAAATTAATAGAAACTATAAGGAGAAATAAAAGTGTACAAAGGGAATCTGGAGATGCAGAATGATTACTAACATTATCTCTTTATGAAAATCGCTATTTGATGTATTTATCAATTGAATTTACTTTTAAATGGCTGAAACTGTTATCTTGGTTACCAAAATATATTTTGGGATAGATGTTTAAATCTGAAATACATCTTCATTACGAAATGAACTGTATTATCACTGTACTTAAAAGAATGTAACATCTCTTAGTTTTAACCAACTGATAAGCAACTGATACTCAATTTCATTTGTGTCAATATTCATTTATTCAGCAAATGTTTATTAAACATTTACACTGTACTAAGCACTGGCAGAACTGCACATAACTTACTGTATATAGCCTATGATATATTCCAGAATAGATGTATACAAAATGTGGGAAGCTATCGTTTGAGCCATTACTATTTACTTTGTTTTTTCCCAACTCTTGAACATTAAAGTTGTATACAGTTTTCACTATTATAAATAATGCTGTGCTGAATATCTTCGTATAAAGAGATTTAGGGGGTATATTTTGTGATATTTAGGCTAGTTTCCTTAGGAAGATTCCCAGATGTGATTTCACTGGGGTTTAGGTTATACTTATCTTTAAAGTTTTTGTTGACAATATGCTAACAAAAATGTTTTACCAATTTTGGTTCCATCAGCTGAGCAAATATCCATTTAACCCATGAACTTCAAAAGTGAAAATCAGCACCCAAAAATGTGTGTGAAATTTTTTATTATATACTGATTTGAGGTAAAATTTCTTAAATGGATCTGTGGGTGAGATGTGTTTTCTGGGAGTGATGTAACCGTGGACCTTAACACACACACACACACACACACACACACACACACCAGCTGGGAAGTTACTGCAACAGCCCAGAAGAGATGATGTGGCCTAAGAGCTGTTTAGACACTGAGGACAAGGAAAAACTAACATCATTTTTTTATGAATAATTTTAAAATATATTTTTTATTCTATTGATTATGCCATTACATTTGTTCTATTCCCCCCTTCATTCCCCTCCACCCTGCACACCACCTCCCCCACCATTCCCCCCTTTAGTTCATGACCACATGTCTCAAGCTCTTTAGATTCTGTATTTCCCATACTATTCTTACCCTCCCCCCTATCTATTTTCTACCTACCATCTAGGCTACTTATTTTCTGTACCTTCTCCCCTCTTCTCCTTCTCCCACTCCCCTGTTGCTAACCCTCCATGTGATTTTCATTTCTATGGTTCACTCCTGATCTAACTGTCCTCTTAATTTGCTTTTGTTTTAGGTGTGGTTGTTAATAACTGTGAGTTTGCTGTCCTTTCACTGTTCATCTTTTTTATCTTCTTTTTCTTAGGTAAGTCCCTTTAACATTTCATATAATAAGGGCTTGGTGATGATGAACTCCTTGAATTTGACATCATTTTTAAGTTTCATTGTCATGTATCCTTCCTCAGTTGCATCACTACTGAATGATCAGCCATCTTTTCTGGGTGAGGGCTCTATTATTGTCTTCAGTTGGCTGCTTTAAGCAGTTATATGAAGGTGAAATGCAAAAGTTTAAAAATTATCAATGCAGCTCATAAATTCTACTGTAGACATTTTTTACCAAAAGTTTTTTTGCTCCACTTACTTTCTATCCCTGTATGTATTTAAAGTTGACAAGATCAAATACAAAAGAAATAGGACTGCATCATATCCAAAAGATTCACTTTAAAACCGTAAGCTGAAGTTCTGGTCTCCATAATAGTGATACCTTTCCTCAGCTTTTATTTCAAATTTAAAATGCTTAGGACGGAATTTCTACTTCATGTAGCCACATGTGACTAAATTTAATTAAAGTTAAACAAAGTTAAAAACGAAGCTTCTCAATCATGCCTGTCACAATTCAAGTGTTCAACAGCCACATGTGGCTATCTATGGCTACCTACAGGAGAGTGCAGACATTTCCATCTGCCACTGCAGGAGGTTCTACCATAGTGCTGCTCTAGAGTCATTTGATGTTTTTAAAATCACATTTCAAGCATTTTAATGCCTTTCTGAAATGTTAAATGACTGCTCTGCAGAGTTATTGCTTTGATGGTTACTCCTACTCAATACCATAACAAAGCATAATTGCAGAAATCCTCTTAACCAAATTAAGAGTGAATCCAGATAGC